ATCATAGCTCCACACTTAGAGGTGCTCTCTAAATAAGGAAGAAAGATTTAGAATCAGCATTTGATGCTCTTCAAAATTTCATGCAAGGCATCTTGAAAGGCCACTTCGACTAGCGATCCTATGTTATAACTGATGAACTCTCTGATGAAAAAAGATTATGCATTTGAAGGGCAAGTGACATTCTTCCTCTTAATCAACAATTAACAGATAACATTAGGCTGTGCACTAAGTTTTCAATATGCATGCCCAATGCCTAACATACCACAACAAACTTACAACGTTACTTTACCGGATGTCGCATGCGTAACATCCGCCTTGTACTTTTCAGCACATAATATACTTAGTAGTCCCCCTACAGGATAGGGCCATGAAAGGATTACCTATGGCCTATCCTGGAACACTGGCAACATTGGACGTGGAAATATTAAAATGTGATCCATTGGTAACAAGTGATTACGGTTTAATACTTCCATCGTCATTGTTTACTTCAAGCGCTCGCATCCTCATGTATATGAAAGTTGACGCTTATGGTAGATTGAGATTTGAGCTTAACTCTGCAATAATGTGCGCTATGAACGCTGCCAACACTCACATCGGCGTTGTATGGGCTCCACTGAATCGCATCAATAATCAGTTTCAAAGTCTGTGGCACTTCTAAGTCACAAAGTTCAACACAACACTTAAAGGCAGCGTCCCGGCAGATGATTGATACTAAGGCTTCACGCCGTGGCATAAGTAGACATTCCCTTAACTAAGAAAAAGCTCAAAAGCTCGTCCGGAAATCCTAGGGTCCACTTCGGAAGTCTTCCGGACCCCGCCTTCTCGTTCCGGGCCTCGCCCACTTGTAAGCAAAAAAGCTCATTTTCGCCGTTTTCATGCAATAAAAGGCCTAGATATTGGTTCAACATGGCGAAAAGGCTCCGAAAAGGTAAAAAATTGGAAGGCGAGTTTTTAGGGGGGTCAACCTTCAACGTTGAAATCGTCCACTGCGAGAGCGCTCGTGCTGTTGGAATAAGTGAAATCTCTGCGTAAAAATGTCTGTGTTGCACTCTTATACTCAGCTACAATAGATCGCCATCCAATAACATCGTCGATGTTTATATCAAGCACTCGCATTCCCTTTAATATAAAAGA